ATAAGTATTTAAAAAAAAATTCAAATAACGATTGTCAAATAGAGACTTAATCATTTCCGTATACAAATTTTGGATTCATCAGGTTTCTGCACCCCTCTACTAGTCCATTATAATAAAATTGATGTCATATAATCATTGTAAAGTGCATTTTTACTTTGTCTGCATTTTTTAATGGTGTATTGATGAGAAATATATGGTTAAAAAATAAGGAAAGTTTTGAATTTACATATAATATTATTTTATTGAAAATATGTGGTTGAAATAATATCAAATCACTATTTAAGAATATATATATTTTTAAAAATATGGGTCAAATAGAGCATTTATTCTCTATCAAGCAATTCAAGACTCTATGATCGATGGTGAGCTGGCAGGGAAAGACAGGGATTTATTTTTTATTTTAAATTTAATTATTAATTTATTATTTTGAAGTCGTTTATTTATTTATTGAAAATTTTGTGACTATAGTTGAAATTAATTAATTAATTTTTCTTCTTTTTCTTTTGTTTTATTTAAATAAGAGAGTATACTTATTATTTCACAAAGCTTTTATTAAGAAAATGAAAGGAAAAAAAAGGGTCTTTTACGCCTCAAAGGTCATAAAGGGATTTTTCAACCAAATTGAAAATGAATGGGATATTTGGCATGTCCATACGATACAAATATTGCACCAATAAGTCCTTAATTTAAATGGTTGATAAGTACTTGCAATACCTAAAAATATTTTAAGGAGTCGATATTAATATCCACCACTCTTAAAGCATATCTAAGAGGCTTTTAAATATAAATGTTTTCTATTTTAAATAGTCAATCCTTAAAATTATGCTCCAATAGACTCTTGAAATTAACTTTTTAAAATAGATAGTGAGTTTGACTTTCCAAATTTATAAAGCAAAACCCATTCTCTATAATTGAATGTATTCAAAGTATTTCACTTTCAACAAAAATAATAAAATAATTTGAATGGAAGCTAAAGAAAATAAAAGATGGTGAAAACAATAAGGTTTTGTTTGTCTACTATTTTTCCACATTCTACCACATTATTTTTCTACAGTATTCATTTTCAATCACCTTCTTCATTATAATAATATTACACGTAAATAAAAAAGTTTTCATTCATTTTTAACCATACATTTCAGCATCAATCACTATACCATAATACATTACTCACAAATAATGAGGCACAAACAAATACTAAATACTTTTTGAAAATAGTAAGATTAAATGTTAATTATAAAGAATTTGTTGGAGTACTTAAAAATTTTAACTCTTGAAATTTAAAAATGCTCTTAAAATTATAAAATATGATCTTTAAAAATAGAGAATCTCTTTGAGATACTCTTATATATCTATTCACCTTAAAAAGAAAATTATATTACATTTTTAACTTTATGTAAATTTACTTTAATAGATAAAAATAAAATAAAATTCTATAACTCTAAATTCATCCATTAATATTTATTTTCATTAGATTTCTTTGGACATTTTTATATTCTTTTAGATTCTATGTTTAACTACAATCCTAATACTCATAGAAACAAAAATGAAAGAGACAAAATTAGAGCAGATACATAGAGACATAGTAATATACTAAGAAGAATTTGAAAAATGTAAGTATTACCTTTTATTGTGTGTTTTATAAATTTGGTAGGCGAAATATTCTTGATCTCTATTTTAGTTTATATGATAATGTGCGTTTGAATGCAAGTAGAATGTGCAAGAAGTTTCATTCCAAATAATTTGAGTTTTCTGCTCAAATTATCCTTTTTTTTTTTCTTTTGAATTGAAAACATTGATGATTATCTTTTCCACTTTGATTGTCAAAACAAAAAATTGAGTTTTCTGTCAAAATTATCTTTTCTTAATTTTCTTGAATTAAAAACAATGTTAGCTATCTTATCTATTGGGATTATCAAAACAAGAAAATAATTTTCATTATTTGTATAATTCAATTAATGGGACCGACAAAAAATATGAAAGAATTATGATGTAATGAAAATCAATGTTGGCTATACTAATTACTAGCAAAATTCAAAAGCCTTCGAAGCTATTGTGGCATTTGACAATGCTTATTGATGCCCTCCAATTTACTTGAGTTCTTTTGAATTATTATTTTTGACTTCAATAAAATACTAGAATTTATGTCATATTGAGGGTGTTAGTGATTATAGGCGTTTATGGTTTATGAAATCCCATCATATAATTTTTGGTCTATAGAAATAATTTATTCGAGTTCTTTCAAATTATTATTTTTGATTTTAAAAAGGAATAATAGAATATAGGTCATTTGAGGGTGGTAGTGATCATAGGAGTTTATGGTTTATGAAATCACATTTTATAATTTTTGGTCTATAGAATTAATTATTGAACTATGAGAAAGTTGACATTATATGTAACAAGGACGAATATAGTGTTTTTTTATTTTATTTTAAATTTTAAAATTGATTGAGTTAGAGTGAGATGTATATATAAAAGTGGTGTAGATATATAGAGTTTAAATAAATGAATTTAATAAAGGTAATATTGAAATGTGCTGAGGATGAAATTTTATCATTTTAAAATTTTAATAGGGATAATTTTAGAGTATGATATATATATATAGTGCCGATCTACTAAGCGCCATGCTTAGTTAAGCACCATGTAGACATATGGCGTATTTTAGGATCAAACAAATATTGCAATTATCAACTCAATATATTCAAAGGTAGACCAAAAGTGCAAAGATTGGTCATGTTTGGGATAAGGATAATGAAGAGCTAGATGAAATTCCTAACCAAACATTGATGTTAAGACATTCTAAACTCTCTCTTTTACCCTCGATTGTGGTTATGGATGCATCTCTCATTAAGGAGGAGTTAATCCCTTGATGAATGGGTTGGACGAACAAGTATTGAAGAGTATGTATATATCAATGAACTGCCACCAATAAGAGAAGAGGGTAGCGATTGTTACACCGAGCTTGCCTAGTACAGTTTACCTAGTTGGCGTGATTTGCGGGCTATTACGTCAGCCCGAGGGTTTATCCAGTGCGTACTCGAAGGGCAGCGGCTGCGAGTTCCCTCGTCATTAAAAAAAAAGGTGTGGGAAGAGAGAGAGGGAGGAAGGTGAGTAAAGAGAGAATTTGTCTTGGATATCCTTATTGTAGTGATGAATCTTGTATGAGTTCATAAGAAAAGGAATTTGTCCTTTTTTAAGCGAAATTGACAAATATTACTTGAAAGGTATTTTTTATTTGTCACGTAAGATGTTTCACGTGGTTTAACTTTTGCAAGATTCCACGTAAGTTATTGGATTTGAATGTTTGTGATAAATTATTAGTGAGTACATTGATTTGAATTTCACATTTTTAATGCTCATACTTGGCTCCTAGTTGTTGATTATCACTATTGCAGGGCAAGACAAGGATACATCAAGTGATGAAATGACAAATCCAAACAATAATGTGGACAATTGTGCTCACTCTTCACCTACGGATTATCAATAGTGGCAAGACAAAGGTATAAATCATGTTCCTGATTACACTTGAACCAGCTCACATTTCTTTTGATTGTCAATATTGACAATACTCCCACCTAGAACAAAGGCAATGAGGTAAGTTTTCGTCGCCCCTCCGATGGTTAAGTCAGAAATGAAATTTGTGCATAAGCCTATAAACTGGAATATAATGAGAAACGTACCTGACTAATAACCTAATGCTTGGTATTTATAGGGATAGTTAGCTACACTCCTAGTAGGACTAAACTAGTTGGATGTTCTTATCTAACAGAGTCATGTCTGATAGAGGAGTTGGACTAGTACTGCAATTGTAAGTCATTGTAGTGACGTGTTCAAGATAGAGTCATTGTGAGAATCAAGCATTAATGCATTTGGATAAGGTTAAAGTCCTAAGTGAATAGGAATCTTGTTAGGTTGATAACACTGTTGTGGGCCTTCAAGAAGCGACCCTGCCCAAGGATCACGTATCTCAAGGATACCTATCGTAGAATGCTGTCACTGCATGATTGCCTATCCTTGAGCTCATAATCTCCCCGACCCCACATCTCGAGCACAACGACAGTGAAAGGGCAGGGAAAGGTCATTCGGAATCCTTGGGCAGAAGCACAAGAATGATAGAAATCTGGTACATCAGGTGGAATAGTGTTTTTTTGTTTTTAAAAAAGAAAGAGTAGTTGAAAAAGAATTTTTTTTTTCGATTTATTAGGATGATACTTGCGATTGCCACTTTACGAAATCTTGAAGTACGTCAAATGTATATTAAAACTGTCTTTTTAAATGGAGATTTAGGGGAGTGTATTCAATTGTGACTTTTGAAAACTTTTTAAAGTGGGTGATTTTTGTGGACTTTGTGAAATTTTAAGTGATTTCTATAGATTTGGTAGGAATTAGTCAAAGTTTTTCAAGGATTTGTGAAGGCTTTTACCGGAGACTTTTAAAGACTTTTTTTTATAAAAGAAAATATTAAACATATATAATGTAATATGTTTAAAAATACAGCTCCTTTTTCTTTTCTTTATTCAGACACTTTTTTTTCTCTGAGCCTTCATCAGTTCATTGTCAATTTTTTATTTTTTTTTTAAACAATGAGGAAGAGAGCTGAAAGTAGTAACCCTCCAGAATTTGCCTTTACTGATAAGTAACAAATAATCGATCAACATGGAATGTACATAACAATATATGATACAGTGCCTTGGTATAGAAGAGCAAATTTATGAACTTGAGGGAAACAAGACACATTGACAAAACAATCTGGAAGAGACAAAAATGACGCTGCATTACCGAATTGCGTACTCGGACGGATTGATACTATGATAGGGAAGACGATGCATCAGATCCGATCGAAGAAGGTCTAATTCCTATTACTTTGGCTGGATTATTCGTAACTGCATATTTACAATACAGGCGTGGTGATCAGTTGGACCTTTGATTAATTAACATTTCTTTTTTTGATTGACCTCCTCCTTTCTTTAATCCACAAGAGGTCAAAACTCTTCTTTTTGATTCTAATCGTTGGAATAGACCATTTCGATACATAAAAAATAATCCCAGCCAAGAGGTTTAATATCTGGCCAGTCCCCTCGGCATCCCAGTCTTATATACAAACTTTTCTTACCTGGAAGATTCTTATCAGACAAAATCAAGTGTTTGATAGCACTTAGCGAAGTTTGAGCAACTGCTTTAGAGTAATTAGTATCCCAACCCCCGAGCTTAACTACGACCTCTGCATTTGAATAACCTTGAAGACCATCTTGTAAATGTCTTCGGGTTTCCTCTTTCGCTGACTCTTCATCTGTAGCTTCTGACTGAGATAACCAAATAGTGAATCCTGCAAAAAGATGCTGCCATTTATTTGGCCTCTCAGCAGCACCATGCTTCCTACCTAATGTCGAAACAACAACTTGAGCATGGCTACTAAGGCTTTCTAATATAGCAGTTTCTGCTTCTGCTACAACATCACAACCCTGTGAGGCCACCCACGAATCAATAATTTCCTTGCTGTATGATTCCAGAATCTCCTTTGTATTGAGTGGTGTATACCCAAGACCAACAGCTAATTCTCGAGCAGTCTTGTGGTTTATTTCAGTTGATTTCCCGACTAAATAGATTGATGTTCCTCTCAAGAGTTGTGCAACTCCCGCTGTTAAGGACTCCCACAACTTCATGATGTCAGCCCATTGTAGTTCTGGGTCTTGTTTCTTCAAATTAACCACCAATTGATCATCGTCTATATACCATATTGTTTCAGAAGGCTTTATCATCCCGTAAAGTCTATTTGTATCCAGGAGTGTCCTAAGATATCCACTGTTCTGCACCTTAATTACCAAAGAGTTCTCATTTGCATCTATAAAGATCTCCTTAGGACTTACACCTTCTTTCCTGAGTTCCAACCTCAACTCCACCTCAGAAGAAACATCAGAAAACTCATAATGGGTTGTGCCAGTGGAGACAAAGGGAATGCTGCTACAAAGTATGCGATTGATTTTCTTGAAATTTCCAAAAGCCAAACGAGGAATTGAGGAAAAAGGGGTAAAAATAAAAGATGGAGGAGAAAAAAATACAACAGAAGAGGCTAGATTTGAAGAGAAATATCGGTAAAGGTTTACTGAATCAAGCATAAAAGTATCAAACCTCATGTTCTATCATAAATTTATGTTCTGTCAAACTCATACCTGATTGAAAGAGATGGAGGAGAAAACCCTATGTTGAGAGAAATCTCTCAATGGATGAGAGATTTGTTTTGAGAAATCTTATTTGTATTTTCTACCAAAAAGTCTCTGAAAGTCCCATAAATTAGAAATTCCCTGAAAGTCATTTTCAATTGAATACCCCCAAATTTGTAGAGATTTTTAAAAAGTTTCAATTGAATACCCTGAGACTTGTAGAGAATTTCTAAAAATCTATAAAAATCTCTATTGAATACACCCAAACTTTAAGAGAGTCTCTAAAAGTTTCAATTGAATACACCGAAACTTTCTAAGTCTCCAAAAGTTTTTAAAAGTCCCGATTGAATACACCCCCCTTAGAAAAAGAAATTTATATGGAACAACCCGAAGGGTTTTCATCACCAGGGCAGAAAAAGAATGTTCGTAAATTGGTGAAATCACTATATAGCTTGAAACAAGCACCCAAACAATGACATGAAAAATTTGAAAATATTAAAATACTTGATAATTCTTATGTTCAATAGTAAAAAATTCTTTATACATATGTACTTTACTATTTTTGGATGTGCAGATTTGTACATTTAATGACAAAAATTAACATTTTTTTATACATACGTATGTATCTTTGTTATTTAATTCTCTATTTAGGAATCTACATGGGTTCATTTTTCTTTTTGATGTTGAATGGCACTTATATTCATTTTCATTGCTTTTATTTAGAGTGGATAGCCATACTCAATCTTTGGGAAGACAATCCATAAGTTCCACACCTTCCAGTCATGCAAAGAGCGATCCTGCATGGGAACACTTTTCTTCGAGTCATGACATGGACGGTAAAATTTGCTTCACATGTCTTTATTACAACAATAGCTTTAAAGGTGGGGGAATTAATAGAATGAAGTATCATCTTGCTAGAATTAAAGGCCAAATATCACAATGTAAGAATGTTCCTTTTGATGTTAGGGTTAAATTTCAAGGAATTCTTAAGGACATATCTCAAAAGAAACAAGAGGCTAAAGAGACTCGTGACTATACGTTTGAGGAAATTTTTATTGATCTAGAAATTGGAGGAGAGGAAATAGAAAAGGAAATTCAAGAAATAAATAAACCATTACCAAAACAAAGACAAGAAAAAGCGAAGAGAAAAGCAAGTGAAGGGATTGAAACATATTTTGCTCCAAGGACTACTCCTGGATCCCAACCTAGTTTGAAGAGTGTTTTAGCTGGAAAACAAGTAGTGAAGAGAGCCCATACGTGTTGGGCTAGGTGGTTTTATGATGCTTGCATTCCATTTAATGCTTTGCAATCACCTTACTTTCAACTCGCTTTAGATGCTACTGCTGCAATTGGCCCAAGATTTAAAGGTCCATCTTATATTGATGTTCGTGTTAATTTGTTAAGAGATTGTAAAAAAGAATGTCAATTACTAGTGGATACTTATCAAAGCCAGTGGATAAACAATGGATGTACAATTATCGCCGATGGTTGGAGTGATCAAAGACATAGAACCTTAATTAATTTTTTAGTATATTGCTCTTCTGGAATTGTATTTGTGAAATCTTTTAACGCATTAGATGCTGTGAAAGATGCCCAAACATTGTGTAACTTGTTTTCTGAGGTAGTTGAATGGGTTGGACCTCGTAGTGTTATTCAAATGGTAACTCATAATGCAGCTAATTATGTGGCGGTCGAAAAACTATTGCATGAAAAGTATGATCACATTTTTTGATCTCCTCGTGCTGCACATTGCTTGAATCTTATTTTGAAAGATATTAGTAATATGCCTCACATGCATTCCCTTGCATTACGTGCTTCAAAGATTACAATATTTGTTTATAACCACTCAATTTTTTTGTCTTGGCTGAAAAAAATGTTAGAATGGAAGGAAATTGTACGTAAACTGTGACTCGTTTTGCAATCACTTTTATTACATTAAGAAGTATTTATGATCACAAACAAGTATTACAAAGTTTGGCAACAAGTCGGCATTTCACAAGTCATAGGCTTTCAAAAAGTACGACTGGGAAACTTGTAAGTTATGTCATATTGGACAACAAATTTTCGGAGGATTGTTTGATGGTTGTGAAAATTGTGGCTCCTATTCCAAGGTTGTTAAGAATAGTAAATTCAGATGAAAAACCATCATTAGGTTATGTATATGATGGCAGCATAGGACAATAAAATGAATCAAAAATATATTTTTTAATAAGAAAAGATTGTAAAAGCCTTACACTATATCATCAAGGAACGATGGGATAAATATCTTCGCCTTAACATACATGCAACAACTTATTTTCTTAATCCTGCTTTCATTTATTAAGAAGGATTTTGTCAGAAAGTAGAAGTCATACAAGACCTCTTCAATTTACTTGAGATCAAAAACATTTGTGATGATGAGACAAAAGCAATGGGAGAGATAAGGATGTATCAAGTCGGGAAGGAAGTTTTGGGAGACAATCTACATGTAATTCTAGAAAGTCGTTACAACCTAGTGAGCTTTAAATTTATTTATTTTTTGTATATGTTTAGTTAAT